AAATCTTTGCTGTTACTTCATGGTCTTTAACAAAAAATAACGTATACTTATTGTCGTCGGATTAACACAAAATTTTCACAGCTTTAAGGTGACAATGAGAGGAACTTGAATGTGTCCAGACAAACTACTTCATCGATTATTTACCAACGAGTTGTGGTTTGAGTTGGGGGCAGCGACTAAAACAGTAATTGAAATTCAGGACACTATTTTTTAAAACGCGTTGCTTGAATAAAACTAACCAGACACATTCAATTTACCAGACTATTGAACAACTAGGAAAAGTGAAAAAAATACTTCTTATAGCCAGCATAAATGCGTAATTTTTTTTTTTACAGAAAAAGTAATTTTTCACCTTTGATTGAGTAACGCGTCGTAGAATGCAGATACGGGCATGCAAAATACACTTGTGAAAAGCTTGAAGTCTGGCGATTCTAAAAATATATACTTTCCCGGGTCTATTTGTAGTCATTTAGTCACAATTAGAAGATGAAAACAAGTATGCAAATAATAGTCCCGCTACCTTAATTGTCATTTGTGGTAAAAAGTGATGTTTTTGACCAAATTCAGGTAGACTTGTCTCCCAGATTTGTTAATTTTGTGACAGTATCTTCAGTTCTCTAATTTTGATGATTATTTTTGTCATTTTTTTGTGAAAAATGTTATTATCAACTTCAGTATTCTGAGTAAAAGGGCTTCAACATTGTACATCTTGAAAATTTCAAATATATGTTCACCTAACTGAATTCTTGGTTACTATGCTATTCTTATTTGTGTTATTATGACTGTATCCTACATGAAATCCATGTCTTCAATTCACTCTGTATACAGGACTTCTTTCTTACTGTGTCTTGTGAAATGTACATCACTGACCGTGGGCTGTATTCAGCTGACAGGCTGAATGTTTATAATATATATATATTTTTTATACATTTTTATTTCAGCATGCCATTATTTCTTTATTTTCCTGTTCTCTGAAAAGCCTTGAAGTTATTTAATTTTTCCCATTTTTCATAACTTCACGGTTGTAATTTATTCATTTTTTTAATTTATACATAATACTTTCAATAAATACATGTATAAATTGTTTATGCATATTTAATAATATTTATTTAAACTCTTTTGGGGTACACCTTGTTCATCATTTCCATTTTGCTTTCTAATTGGTCATGTGACCTATTGTCTTGACCAAGTCTTTTATTTCTGTCTTTTGTCATTATGTTTTACTATAAACTACTGTTTTTTCACCGAAGGGATGAATTAGTGGAAATAAAATTCAGTGAAAATACCTTTTTTCTATATTTCATATTCAGCTCATATATCAGTGAATAATTTCATACAAAACATTAAAAATTTTTTTGTCATATACTGTAAAATACTATTTTCGCTTGGAATTAATTTTTTGCTGAAGGAATGATGAAATGATTCAGTGAAAATAAAATCTTGCGAATATACCTATTTTCCTTTATTTTACATTCAACTTGTCAAAATCAGGGAAAATAAATTAAAAACACACCCAAAAAGTCTTTTCAGCGAAAATTAATTCCAGCTAAAATAAAGTATTTTGCAGTATGCAAATGAATATACAGCGAGTTAAGGTATACATGATTTAACTATGTTATCTATTATGTTCAATTCATGACATGGAGGCTGTTCAGGTGGAGCTGTGGATATTAAGAACATGTGCACAGCTCTTTGTTTGAACATTCAACTTCTGTAAACGAATGTTTGTAACTGCTAAAATTGAGCCACGTCTATGGTAGCTTTTTTCATTTAGGGGGGCTGAATATCTGGAAATGCAGAGTGCCTTTAAAAAAGTCTCTCCAGAATTCAGATGGGCAGTTGCCGACTTACTAGCTACGGCCAAGGAAATCAAAGAAACAAGCAATAACAAAAACACAGAGAGGTTTATCACCTACCGGACAAAAAAAAAATCAGTTTGCTGTACATGTGATTTAATTATCTACGGCGTTGTTATAGAGTGTGTATCAATACTTTCGAAATGTTACCAGTACTCGGAAAGATTCCCTTATGTCACAGTATAATAAAAATCTTGTACAACATCATTTCTAAATGTATTATTACAATACTTGAATATACATTTATTTTTACAATATTTCACACTAACTCCGAGGGCGGTAAACCACTAACAAGTTGAGATACGTCCTCAAGAGTGCCCCTCCCCCCAATTCTGAATTCTCAAGTTGAAAACTCCCTTTTAGCTTGCTTGTTTATCAATTAAGAGAAAGTTAGTCTTAATCTCACTAATATATTCACTAATCATGTATTTTATACAGACTATCTTGTACTGGTGTCGCCTTCTATTAAGAGTTTAAATAATCTTGTCAAAGTATTTGATACATATGTGAACAATTGTGATATAATGAAAAAAAGTTTGTATATCCTCCCACTTTAGTGCGATATTAATCATGTATGAAGTATATTTTAACAATAAACACCCTTAAATTTGTAAATAAATATTGCTATTTATTATTTTTTAGATGATAAAGAGAATATTAAAAAACAGTTTCTCAGAATTTATGCTAGAACAAATTTTTTGGTACGGTAAATGTTAACTGTCTACTATTTCGCAGCTGTTGCTCGAATTTGTATTGTACCGGTAGTCATATACAGTCAGATGTTACTAGAGCAGATTTCCATCAAATTCAAGCTGCTTATATTGAAGGTCTGTAGTCGTCGCGTCCTGTTCGATATGGGACTCATAGCGACGTATACAACGCATGTGAAATACATTGTTTATTTACATGAAATTCGAACACGCTGCGCGACGACCACCGCGCTTTAATGTATTCAGAATTTGACACTAGTATGAGCCTGTCTTTTGCAACATTGTATGTCGATGACTTTCATGTTAAGTTACTCAAGATATGTTTTAGCTTGTCTTAATGAATCCAACGTGTGGAGCACTAATTCTGTCTTAAAGTATGTGGCGTATGTAACTGTTTCATGTTCTTAAGTAAGTGTAAGGGTAAGTAGTTTTCTAAATGGGCTTTTTCTGAACTAAAGTTGAAAATATTAAAAAAGAATAACAGCACGGAATAACGATCGAGTAAAATTATGTTACGAATAATTCACTTGTTTATTTTCCAAGACATTCATAAAAGTCAAACAATTTGTATCTGATCATTTTCAAACTTGTGAATCTTATCAAAAACGCTTTAAAATATCAATCGTGTCCGATTTTCAATATTTCGGTGAAACTTTTGCTACAATAAAAGATTTCTTAGACATGACCAAGACGATTTTGAATACGGATGGTGACAGAGGGTGTCAAACTATATAATGAAATTCGGTTGAGTGTTGTATAATGTATTTCTGACAAGATATATGAGTAGATACAGAGTGGAATGATAAAGAAGCAGCAAGCTATACAGTACAATGTAAATTGGCTTAAAATAGGCTAGGTAAGATTCCCGTGAACATGTCAAAATAACCCGCTCATTGATCAAAAACTTTATTAGCTCCGCTGTCATCGCAGATAACCCAGCGGAGCTGTTGGTTGTCCTGTGTCCCGCGTGAAGTCTTCCTTTAAACGACTTATTCTTCAAAAGTACTTGACCAATTACATTCATATTTGTACCAAAGGTACTTGGGGTGGTCCTCTGTAAGATTTGTCAAATTCGTGTCAAAATATGGAAATTTGGATTTTTAGTGAATATTTTTGTCATTTTTGGAAAAAAATGTTATTTTCGACAACTAGTCCGAAACCGTCAACCACAATGCCACTTTACTGATTCTTGTTCCATGATAATGAAGACAGCGGAGCTATTTCGACCTCAAGTCGCTTGTACTTAATATTTTATCAAGGTGCAACGTCACGGTGTCTCCTCCCAAGTTCGCAAATGAACACAGAAATGTCTTGAATGGCTACAGCTGTGTCTGTTCCCCATTGAAATAAATGCATACTATTACTAGAGTGAACTGTGCTAATGACCAATGTAAAAGTTGTATTTTTTACCATCGCTTTTTGAATTATTCTAATTATTTCGGACGTTTGCAATGTATCGTAAGCTACTTGTTTAGTAACGGTCACATCCTTCTGACATACTCCATGATTCCAAATGTTTACCCCTAATTGTTCGTATGTTCCAGTCTGTAAAGCGTCCTGAAATAAAATCGCAGATATTAACATAATTCATTAATTGATGTGTGAACTCGTATGTTGTTTGTGGCATTATACCAATATGTATGTAATGCACACTTTGAATGCCCGATGCTTGCATCATTGTATTCATAATTTAAACAATAATATACTAGTATTGAATCACGCCAAAAAAGAACTATTTCCCACGGAGTTTCGGACCAGATGGGGGCGTTTTGTTTGGACACTTGTGTTCACATACCCAGACTCGTACGTAACCATAATATTTTGAGACAATATTTACTGGAACATTATATCTCGAATTTGAAAGATGTCATTAAAAAATCATAAATTTAATCTGATGCACATAGAGACATGGGAAAAACGACTTAAAATTTATCTGTGATTCAGATAAATTTTCTATGAGTTACTAAGCAACCTTTACTGCATTTGAAAGTGAATTGCGAATACGATAGTGGATATGCCGTACCAATACTTGTCTAATTGATTACTTGGCGGCCTTTTTCGTTACGAAAATCCTGTGCGATTCGCATGTTTTTCACGTCGCTGAAAGTGTTTAAAAAACGATGTTTTCAATAGACGGAATATTAAAAACAATTTTTACAGTTTTTAAGAGGACACCAGCAATGCTTTTGTAACATGAATAATACAAATATAATTGAAAAATGCGCAAATCTTGTAGAACTTCACAAAAGTTTCACAGGACCAGACATTTTCAGAAAGAATTCGAAATGTACAAATATAGCCTAATAAGTTTGGGAGAATGTGATGGCGCTGTTTTTGCAAAAGGTCATTGGCCGACACTGACCCCGTAACTGAATCATTTGACACGGGGATTACTTCCGGGTAAAAGTTCCTTAATTCGGCGCTGGTATTGTTATTTTGTACACTGCCACTCTTCGACCCGCTATTACTCAACATGTCTGATGATACTGGTAAAACGGCAGAAAAGACACCCGGTACGTAATAATGGATATTAAGAACGGGTTGGGGATATCAATGGCAAGTCATACGATTTTTGTCGAGGCGTAGAGGATGTGAAATATTATAATCATCCAGTCCCGAGCAACAGCAACATCAGTACCTGTTATATCTGCGCTGAAATAACCCAGATCGGCGCAGCGTTTCCTTTTCAATTGATGTAACTGTGCTTATAAATGGGGAACTGAATATTTGTATTCGCATGTCTCAAGGTCACCGAATGTTTACTCAAACCATAGACGTACTAAGAGACGACATCAAAAGATCGATGTCGGATAAAAAACTTAATTCCTTTAGTTTTTTTCCAAACCTCCCTACCCCCCACTGAAACTTAATTGATAAATATTGGTCGTGGCGTCAGACTACATTCACCATTAAATACAAATTGATAATCGGATAATAAAAAGAACCTAAAGTAGGGTCGGTATACTTAGTCAGTCTACGGTACATCCGATCCGGCAGAGCTCCAGAAGGAGTACCTACACTTTATGCAAATTTTTTAAAATTATGCTAATTTATTCATGACGTTGCAGTTTCTGTGCTCATGAATATTCATTAATTTGTGGCTCAATACATTTTAAAAGGGGCGATATATTATTTTTGGGGGAAGAGTTAGAAAGGGGGATTAGCAATCCTTAGGGGGTCAATACAAAAGAAGGGACCCATTTGGAGAGCAGCCATGCTCCTCGTGTCTGTTGTTACACGTGACCTACAGCTGTCAACTGTGTTCGTTCTTCGACGACTTCGACTGGCTTCCATGTGGGGTAGTATTCTTATGTTCTGTTTTCCTGACTTGAGTTTTTGAATCTGCTGTTTATGTTTTTAACGTCTTTCATGTCTTTTGTAGGAGTGTCCAATCCGTGATTCGAA